TTCCAGAGTAATGATCTATCTAATCAACTATAATAACTGGTGCGAGTGAAAGATCTTTGAAACATTTTTCGATGTGGGCTAAAACCTTTCTAGATAATATTTTTGATAGAGGTACCTCTATCAATACTTTCTCAGCACTTTTTTCAGTACATATATATACTCACATTATATATATTAATTTTCCACCCTTATAGTTATGTCCGTGATGAAGTAAAAATCGATACTCATTTATTACAATATCAATCATCTCCTTCTGGTCTGTTATTAATTCCTGAAAAAGCTGTTTATCTTTATCCGTAATTGGAAGACAGATTTCTTCAGGACCCGATCTAACTTTGGAGAAGCTCATGAATATACCAACCGTGCTTACCCATAAGCTAAAAATCGTCTGCAATTGCCACCGAAGAGCGATGATTCTTTAGATCGAGACTTTGACTTTCCTAGCTCATACTAATTAATTTGTGAATGAACAGATCGTCAAACCTGAAATTAGTTTATGAAATCTGCAAATTAAATTTTTTAGTTGTGAAAATATTTATTATAAAAACGAGCTAAGTGTATGATTAATTGCAAATACTTATCTGTCTATAACCTTTAATACTGTAATACGTATACTAACTCTTCGATCATAAAAAATTTGAATATAGCTACTAACCCTACACCTCAAAATATTTCATGTCTTGAAACACTTGCATTAAATGTTCTTAAAAATTCATCTTCAGAAAAAATTGCAAACGATATTAATATATCCGAACTAGATCCATGTTTTTTATACAACCAAGAACTTTTTTTATATAAAATAAAAAAGCTGATTACTTTACTTATTTGTGGCCATCTATATCATTGTGATTGTATCAAAAGTTCTATAAAAATTAATTCAACATATCCAAGACCTGATTGTAATAAGGAGATAGAATCTATGAATGTCAGCATACCTGAGAGTCAGGATATCAATTTAATGGAAATGTCTCCTACAATATTTAAAAGCCCTCTGTTTACCCAGAGTGTTACATCAAAAAAGTGTACTAATGATTCCAAATTATTTCCGGATAAACTATCTAACAAAAAAGCAAAGAAGTTGGTTAAAAAAGAATCACATATATTAAAAGATCTTATAAATGAATTATCTACCGAACCCGAAACTTCACAAGTTTCTGTAACTAGAAAAGAAAA